CAGACACAGCCTGATATAAGCCTAGATTTTGTGAGGCTCTCACCGCAGACGGTTCCCTCATCAGCACTGTTCCGTACACGCAAGGCCTTGTCAACAAGCATGACGTGAATCCCAGGTCAGCGATGTCTTTACCTATACAATGTAAGCTAACCAGAAATTCTAGTGCTCTGAAGAGACTGGCCACCTTCAGCAATGATGGCGGCTACGTCATCAACCCTGCGCGCTTTGACCCTGCCAAGGTCACCTTGAGTACGTTTGGCCAAAGTGCTAACAAGGTGCTCTCCTGGAAGCCGCAGTCGGGGCAGCCTGCCCGGGCTATCTGCATGACCATGGGCTTCGTCTTCACCTGTAATGTCGTCTTCCCGACGTTGTTTGGAAAGCAGCAGTCACAGACTGTAAAGTCAGTCCTGTTTGGCCCTGTGCGGGCGGAGTGGGAGCGAACGATGGCTTTCTTTGGCACTGTATTCAACCACAGTGAGCTACCCATCAGCACATTCACTGCATCGCAGCGCTACGTCGGTGTCAACATGCGCACCTTCCCTTCTGATCCCACCCCAGCGCGTGAGTCATTTGTACTCTTGACCAATTATTGGCTCATCCTTTGGAAGTCCCAGATGTGTCGTTCATCGGGGCAACACCCAGCAAGAGCACTGGCAAGCAGGGTCCGAGGGCAGGCACAGGCAAGATGCCCTCTGTGCCATCGCGCAGCCTGTTGGAGATGCGCAACAAGACCACCTGGAACACGCAGGACGACAGTAAGTGCAGAATTGTCTCATATATTTCCTGCCTATGCATAGCTCATTGATCTACAGTTGGCGTGTGGGACGGCACCGCATACTTCAAGAAGAACAAGAAAGCCTCCTTGAAGTTCTCGTTTGATGAGGTTCACAAGCTCCCGCGCCTGGAGACTGTTCCCGGGTTTGGTGACGTTGTTGTTGTTTTGTACTCCACGTCCTCGTACCTTCGCGACGACAAGATCAACCTCAGCCTGAACCTGTATGGTGTTGTGCTGGTTGCCCGCGCGTAAGTCATGCACTTTTATATATGTTATTAGTATAGCACTGATGTCTGTATTTTAGGGAGTGAATGTGGCCTCATACAAAGTATCTCGCAATTTCTCTCTCTACTTCCATATTTTTGCTTTGTATCTGCTGCTACCAAGTGTGACGCGACTGTCCATGCCTCTATATCCTGCAATGCAATCACGTGTTGACCTGTGTGCAGCTAGGGTTAAATGAGCGCCCATGGAGTGGGTTTCAACTTGGTAAGAAATCTGATTAACAACTATCTAAGGCTAACCCTAAGCTGTGCTAATGAAGGGGAACCCTAACCCAGGATTTGTAAGTAAAGGATGTAGGTGGCGCCTATTTCAAAACTAACCTTTGATCAGCTGGGTTTCAACTTTTTTTCCCACGTACACGACTTGAGTTGGCAGGAAGGTCACCCCATAAGAAACGATTTCTTCGTTCCTCATCAATTGTAATTTACAGCTGATGCTTCGGGATCTACATTGGACTCCATGCTCTTTGAGTAATTTACAATCACAGGTGGCTCATCCTCAGGATATGAATTGATGTTGTCATAAGATATCTCGAGATCAGCATAGTCAATGTGATTGAGTTTGAGCCATTCAAGCGCATCCACCACTTTGTTACGCCGTACGAGCATGGGTGTGCGCTTATACTCTTTGGAGGTTGGCTGATTAGGTCCAAGATATAAGAATGCTAATACTTCGCTCAATTCCTCACATCTAGGTGGCAGCACTGAGTATATCTTGGGCATGGGAAGTGAATGGCTGACCACATTAGCACGTAGCTTGGACATGCCTGACATATGGACCTTGACAATGCAGTGGTTATGCTTTACACGTGCTATCAGCATTTTCTCAGTGAAACTCAAATTTTGTAGCTGTGGTGGGACCTCTCCAAGCCATAGACCATTTGCCAGACTGTCTGCAGGAGTACGACCTTCTTTGAGTTCTGATAAGCATGATTGGCAAATATTATCACAGCCTGGAAGAAGAACAGGACCAGGGATATCACAGACAGGATCACTTGCAGATTTTCGCTCCTTCACAGTGACCATGTTGTCTGACATCAGCAGCTTCTGATCATAGTCTTCTTTGGTAATGGACAGCAAAAGCTTCTGTGGTACAAGCTGGGCGCATACTGCACAAGCGGACTCATGGAAGTTAGAAATATCTGTGGCAAAGCCTTGGACAATATCCTCTATTAAATCTGAAGACAATGGAGGCGGCGGAAATGTATCAGATATCTTGGCTTCTGCTTTCTGCTTATTTCTGTACTTCTGGCATTTTGTAGCATTCACCCTGTGTTTGACTTTGAAATCAAATATGCAGACATATTCATCACATTGGTCGCATTGATGCTGCAAAAGCTCATTTACAAGCACCTCCTTGTGTTTATGCTGGGACACATGTACTAGGTGATGGGATTGAGCTACTTGCCAGAGATGCTGCTTTGATAATTTGGTTACCAATATATTGATAGGAATATTTGCAGCAAGTATGTGGTCATTGTCTTTAATACTTTGCAGCATTTTCTCTGGTACATAGTGTTGAAATGAATATGTAATGTTTATGTCAGCAGTTTGGGGTTTGCAGCATACAAAATGTTGTAACTCATTATATGTCCAAGAATTTGCATACCTGCCCCTACGTATTGCAGCACCTCCTCT